AAAATATTTGAGTGGAACAATTTTTTTCAAAGGTTACATAAACAACCAAATATGAAATGCAGCTGAAATTTACATAAATTCTCCTTTATTTTTTTGCACTTTTGAACAGCTGTTAGAAAACAAAAAAAAAAAAGTGTTTTTTTTTTTTCTTTGCTGATTATTACTTTACTCTTATTTGTGTTGCATTCTGTTTGGTATAATACAAATAAGTTTTTTTAAAAGTTGATGAGTATAAAGATTTGAGAGTGCAGCCAACAGTGCGGCGAGTCCTCTATGCTGTAGCTGCCAAATACGGTAGTCAGGAAGACTTCGAGACACTGCTCCAGAAGTCTCGTATCGAAAAGAGTCGTTTTGAGTCTCAACGTTTATACTCTGTTCTAGGTTACACCCAGAATCAGTCTAATATCTATAGGTAAGTACCAAGATTTTTTTTCCTTAGCTTTACAATAAATAGCAATAATACAGCGACAGCAACAAAATAATTAAAACATAGGTTGCATGGAAAAAAAAACTTTGGCCAAAATAAGTTTTGAAGAATTGTACTGAATTATTTGTATTCATAAGGACATTGGTGAAATTTTGTTCAAGATACTGCAATTAATCAATGGATTCCTTTTTTTTCAACTAAGCATCGCCACGGTCAAATTTTGTAGCTGAAAAAAATTCCTATACGATATCTGAATGTATTTTAGGATTCTGGAAGAAAATTTCAATGAAGGAGCAGATTTTAAGATCAACTTTCAGCTTTTGGCACTTGCCAGGTACAGTAAAACAATTCAGTTGATAATTCTTTTTGTTCTCACATATTTGTTAGCAGAGAAAACATCAAACTTATTTTTTTTTAAAGTTTTGAAAAAAAAAAACAGTTGGTTTCTGAACAACTAATGTCATATGGTCAAAATTGTTGTTTTTCTTTTAGGCGAACTTACAACGATACAATCATCTCAGATTTTCTGTACAAAAATTTTCATATTATTTCAAATGCGTAAGTTGTTGTTCAATTGTCAAAATAATATTTTTCCCATTTTTTTTTTCTGTTATATAATTATTATGCAAATTTTAAAAACACACAAAATGCTTTCAAAAGAT